CAGCACTTTGGTACCTGTCGGTGCCTCGTACCAGCACGCGGGTCTAAAGCTGTCACAGCACTGTTCAAATCTCCTGCCAAACAAAGAAGGAAAACAAAGATTCCAGAGGGAGGGTGAGATTTAAAGAAATGCTGAATGAGTGATTCGGGGCCATCTCCAGCTCCTACTGCCCACAGCATCGCGAGCATCTCGGCACAAACTGCAAAAGGAAAGTCTCAGTGCGTCCCTGCTTGGTTTAGATCACTTTCTTTCCTAACCACGCTGACAAAAATCCAGCTTGGTCCCTGGAATTTGCCTTCTATAAAATTATAGCTATATCACCGATTGCTGGCTACAGAGGATATGTCAGGTCTTTCAGCAATTCAGTGTATAAATATACAACAGACAAAATTACTCTGGCAATTTGAGATATTTTACTAAAATGGAAACAAAGCAACTGCAACAGACCATTAACGTAGGACTTGTGTTGCTTATTTTTAAAAATAAATGGTTTGAATAAATGTCTTTGCTCCTAAACAAATTTATTTTGCTTAGGAGAGAATGTCACCCTTTAAAAGTGTGGAGCTAGTAACTGTCTTTACTTAAATGCAAGTTATGTATATCAGCACAGAACACATTCAGCTTTAAAATTTGCAGTGATCTTCCTTACATTCTGTATGTAATAAAAATTATCTCACCCTGTAATGGCATAGTTATTTAAAAAGGAAAGAAAAAATCAGAAAAGAAAAAAGCCTTACTTAAAGATTTTCTGTGTTCAGGCTTTGGTTCTTTGGATTCAGTGTCTAAGCTATTCAGTAATTCGATGCTGGAAGATCTTCTGAGTTTGAACTCCAAATTTCTCGATGTACAACTCCTTTCTTTTGGCTGGGAAAAGAATATATATATATGTACATGTGTGTATGCTTTTAATAAAATTATTATTATTTGTAAACATGAAGCAACAGAATACAGAAGGGCAGTACAGAATCAGAAGCACACGTGGCAAGTGATGCAGTGAGCATATAATTTAAGGGAAGCGTAATGCAAAATTTGTCATATAACAGAGCCTTTATGGCCCTGACAGACTGATCTTAATTTCTGAGATAAATTCCTATGTAAGTGAGTAAAACAAAAGGCCTACTTGTTTAGGCTTTAGAGACCAAAATTATTTCTGCATTGCAGGCTACTCGCAAATGCTTGCAGAGAGGAAGGTTGTTTAAATCGCCTCTCTGGCTTAGATAGTTACAGTAAATATTCTTGTAAACACAATTGTTTCTAACACCCTTAGGAGTTTTGGGTTGAATTCTGCTGCTCTAAGCTTAGGAAAGAGGGAGGTCTCTAATTCACTATGCACACAAAGTAACAACTAGGAAAAAGAAAAAAAAAAAAAAAAAGGAGATGATATTTTGGCTAATTGCATGCCTCTTCCCATGGGTTGGTCAGGTGAGATGTAGCTGTCCCGACAAGCCAGGAAAGCTGCAAGGCTTTTCACACTCACTCGAAGTTTTAAAACTGAAATAAGTGACTCACATGTAAGGGTCAGGTATGAAATAAATGACACATACGAAGTGCTTCATGGTGTCATCCTGTCCTGGGCACCCAGCAAAGCCAGCCCTGGCTGCCAGGACAAGCTTGGGTACCATAACCTGGGACCCACTGCTGCCGTGGTTCAGTGCACCCTCAGAGCTGCTGATGCCACAGTATTACCTCAGTTGCACTAATAAATAAATAAATAATCAATCAAGTCTATTCGATGTTTAGCTCTATAACATGGAAAAAAAAAATGAAAAAATAATAAAAGAAAAATGTTCTGAGTCTCCATGGAAAACCCCACCCCAAAATCTTCAGTCAGGTATCAATATCCTCACACACCCAATGAAACGCACAACATGAAGACATACATCATCAGATCAAACTTTCCTTGGCTGATTATAGCCTCGAGGTAACATAATGCTTGTAGCTCTTTAAGGAAACAGTAGCCGTGTTTGGATTAACCCTTTCAAAGAAGCTGCTTCTGCCCTCTCTGCCAATTTCATTGCAGCAAAACCTCTGAAAAATGCAAGAAATGGGGGTATTTTTCTCTCGCTAGATTCTGCAGTGAACAAGGAAAGTCAGTGCCCTCTGAAAAAAATATGTTCTCGATCAGGCAGGGATAGGAGGAAGACATTTGGAATTTGTACTGAGAGTGGCAAAAAAAAAAAAGAAAGAAAAAGCTACAGCTGAATCTGGTTTGGTAATTAAAAACTGTTTTAATAAAATGCAGCACTGCTTACTTCTAGTAGAAAACCCCCAGCCTTCCTGGGAGAATAACAGCAATCAGTTACAAAGGAATATTATTTGCTAGTGTTATTCTTCTGAATAAGTAATACAAAAATTCATAAAAGGCTCAAATGTATTAATAGTTCTATTGAAGATTATATACTGTAGGCTGCATAAACAGAAAATGCAAAAATTCATTAGTTATTAAGTGCTTGTGTGCTTTTACAACCCTCAGCAAACCAACGTCCTTGTTATTTCAGAGAAATAAATGTAGCGTTCCATTTCAAGGCAAGAATCAGATGACATTTTTGTTCAACAACCTTGTTTATCTGACATTTTTTAGTAGATTTGCATACATATTTTTATATCCTTCAGAGAAAGGAATGTCTAGCTAGCTGCTGACTGCCTAAAACCTGTAGAGATGCCCAAGCAAATGAAGTTGCAATTGCTACGTCTTAATTAATAAAGGTAACAGCCAAAACAAATACATACCAATCTGTCAATTGCATTTTTGATAGCGTGGAACCAATCCAATATGAGAAAGTCGATATCCGACTGGAAGAGGAACTCGTTTCCCGACACTGTCGTGATCTGGGGAGGACATGGGCACACACAGGTAAGTCAAGCACACACCAGCCAGATGAGTTTCTTCTCTTTTCTCTCCTAGGCACCCAAATGCTCTCCCTTTGTCCCAAGAATTATCTCCTGGAGTGTTGAGTTCCTGAGGAGTTTTGAACCTCTGTCTGAAAACTGGTTTGAATATGTCACAACAAACGAGATATTGTCTCAGCAGTGCAACCACTAAACATAAATAGTGCAAAAAATAACAGGAATGTGACAAAAGTTAAGAAAAGCCAGGAAACTCAGCGTTATGAGACACAGTTCAAATGCAAATCAAAGCAACCCGAAAAGAAATGAATGCAAGAAATAATTCCTGTTATTTTCAGTTTCCATTACTATTCTGGTATTATTATTTTTGTATCTGGTACCTCCATTCCCAAATTTACACATTTATTATATACCTGTAATTCCAGAGTTCACTTCCAAGCATTTTGGTAAAATTAATAATGTCACTTTTCCCCACATAAAAAAAAAAATACCATCAAAGATGACAGCAGCAGAGTAATTAGGAGCCCATTTATCATGAAAAAAAATCCCCAGTTTGTCTCAATAGAAGTCGATTTACATTTTTGACCCACTCACTGGGAATATTTATCAAAAGAATATTCAATCCCTTGATAACGTCGTTTCACTGTCTAACAATATTTGGTGGAAATATACATACATATTCTGTAGGTCTGAACTTCCATAAGCCACCTTGATCATAACAATACATCACTTTTTAAATTTTTTTTCTTTTTAACATATATATATATATATATATATA